GTTCCAAAAGCTTAAATAAAAATAGCAAGCCTGAAACTTCTCCTCCGTTGGCATTTCTTCATAGAGACGGGGTGTTGCTTAAAGAAACATCAAATCACTCTTAAAAGAGGTCAGATCTGCAGGGTGAAATGGTAGAATTAATGGTGAGACTCATTGGCTGCAGATTTCCAGAACAGCTTTAGACCCCTGAGCAGCTGCACTGGATGCCAACAGAATGGGCAAACTGGTTTGCACGATGTGTGAACTGCTCCAGTGCATCCCTCCAACTATCACTCAATAGAATTAAAAACCTGTTAAAGCCCAAAGCTCGAAGCCACTTCCATGCCAGGCAGCCAGGGCCAAGCACAAAGGCAGCATTTCCACGGAAACCAAATTAGTTCTTTTTCCTTTTTCATTTCCATCAGCAACGTTACTTGAAATAATCTGGATCTGCAGCAGAGAGGTAAAGAAAGGCTACCCAGGGCCTGGATAGGCAGGGAGAGGTAACATGACTGGGGGAAATGGTAAAATGCTGGCCTCCCTCCTCATTTGTTGGATTCGGTAGGAACAGGATTGGGCTGACAGCATCTGCTGTGTCCAAAAATCTTGCAAAAAGTCATGGCACAACTGGCTGAGAGCATTCCTATTAAGTCTGTGCCCCAAAGTGGCTTTTCTGGGGTATGCTGTAGCCATAAATGCTGACAAAATCCCACAGGAGCATGTAAGCGAGAAAAGCCTCAGATATTTTGAAGGTCAGAGGCAGTACTGCCATTGCAGTGCAGAGGTATGGCATTATTAAAAGGCATTTTCCATCTCGCAGCCTTTTCCTGTAGACATAAATACAGATATTAATGATACCGTGATAAGAAACGGATAGCCCTAGGGCTCTAGACAGCCTTCTACCTCTCTCAACACTGTGAATGCTACAATTCCTTACCTGGCACATTCCAGTATCTCCAGACCACAAAGAATTAACCACACATTAATGTTGTAATACAAATCTGAGCATCTGTCAGCCAGGAACAGAGGAAAAAGACAAATCACAGTCATGTCCCACTTACATTAATTTGACTGGTATGGCATTCTCATGCCAAGCACTCCAATCAGGATTTGGAGCCCACCATTTTGGGTAGAGAAAGACACAGATCTTCCCCTGTGAGCTGCAGAGGCACTGATGTCTGATCTTCCAATTGAACTGTTCTATTCTGAAGTCTAAACCATTGCATACATGGTATCAAAATGTACTCACAGCCCCAGCAACAATACTAGATGGCCCACAACAAACACAACTTGCCTTCTGTCCAAGGGGATCCCCGAATGCAGTGAGTACACCCACTTGTGGGTGACTCCTGCATGAGATCAGACAGATTTTTTTCCATCTGAAGATGGTAACCACTTTTATGTAAGTGTGACAGGTGTCGAATCACATTTTCTCCCTATATTTCACAGATCACTTTGTTTTTAAAAAGAGGAAGCAATGCAGTACAGCTTGGTTTGGTGTGGCTGAGGAGAGCCGGCAGTGACGAGGAGGATCTCCTCCTCACCACACACACCTTGGAGCAATGGCCAACATCTAAGTGAAGTACAATATTCTCCACTTGCTCTGTGCTTGCAAGCATGGAAGACTATGGGTAGGATGTGTGTTTGTGGTTGAGGAGGTATGCAAGCTATGCTCTGTGTGGATGGAATATGCCTGGTGCTGAAAGCTGTGGGATGGAAGAATGAATGTAGTTGTATCAGGAGAAGGAGGAATGCTTACAGTATTTTGTGTCCTCCAACGTGGATTAGCTTGGACAGGGATGTAAGGTGGGAAAGACGTATCCTGAACACCTGTTTCTACATCTGTATTTTTTTCCTCGTTTTGGAGACAGCTTGCCTTGCTCCACACTCCCTGTCCTCATTCTGCACTCAGGTCCCTTCCATTTCACACAATAAGTTTCTGCTCTCATGAACGTCGTGCTTCCATGAGTTTGTGTGGAGGCAGTGCAGCTGCAGGGCCCTGCACACATCTGCCCATGGATGTGCTGGGAAAGTGGGGAGCAGAGAGATGTCTGCTGGGGGCAGGCAGGGAACACCCTGGTCTATGAACCTTTCTCATGCATGGTGTTTCCTGCTGCTTTCCTCCCACAACTCAAGCTCAAGCAAAGTCTTCAGTACAGACTCTCTGGGGAATGGGATTAAGGCAGCCTCATTCTTAAAGTCCCGTGCAAAACGTGCAATGAGTTGGTGAACAGTGCTATTTGATCTTTGGTCAGCAAAAGGACATTTAATTGATTCATCAAGAAGCTGAGGCTAAAAATCTCTCCAGAGGCAATGGAGATACATGCACTTTCACTGACCTCTGAAAAACACGATTTATGGGAATACCCACTTATTTACCTAAATTCCCACAAAATAACCTGAAAGAATTAGCCCTTGATCTGTGATGGCAAGGGGCTCCACGGAGGTAAACTCACCGAAGGATGAAAAAGGAAAAACAAATCCAAAAGAAAATGTGTTCTTTAAAACTAGAAATACATTGAAGGGATAGAAAATGATTCGCGCTAAGTGGTGAAACAGAATATCGCTTGGCAATGCTGTTAGGCTGTGGATGGACAGAGAGACTAAGGGCTTCAAACTAGTTTGGTTTGGCTGTTGGCAATCAGGAACTCGAAAGGAAATTTGAAAGCTCAGTAACAAGAATTTCAAGTCGGAAACTTGAAATTCCAGAGACCTATAGCCACATGCCTGACCTGCGCTCGGGGGGAACCTTCGCGCGCACCCTTCTGCTCAGCGTCTTGGCTCCATGAACTCACTCTGCTTCGGAAATTAAATCGTTACAGGATGGCTGCCACCCTCCAGCACTATGCTGGGTGCCTGGTTGCCAGTGCTTCCTGATATATCCCAGAAATGTTGGACTGCAGTCTCAAAGACAAACTGCTTTGTGAAAAGCGCAATGATCTCTCACAGCTTTTCTACAAAGGAGACTGGATCTTGGCTCCTGAGGTGTCCTGCAAAATAACTTAATGCAGTCAGCTGCCCAGTTGTAGTGCCTCTGTCTTGGAAAGATGGGTTTTGTTCCTTCTGTTAGTTCCTTCTGTTGAGTTCCTTCTGAACTCAACGACCAGAGGGTGCACATGAAATGCACAGGGCTGCTTATCAGCCCAACAGCAAATACTAGTTTTTAAGCTTGCTTTAAAAAAAGAAAGGCTTCGTGAAATGCAGTCTTTTCCCTCGAATTCCCAGTGTTTTTGAAATGCAGTCTTTTCCCTTGAATTCCCAGTCCCAATGCTCCACCGAATTCAGTCAACAAATATGAAGAGTAACAGCTACTTTGGATGCCAGATCCAAAATGCACACTATTTTACATGAAAAGGAATCATTGTGAAATTAGGGTGGGCCAACATCAGTTCTGATGTGCAATGCTTGACTCGTCCAGGATCTTGCATGGACATGGGAACTGAGGCAATGGAACGTAAAATCCCAGAAGTCATCAAAAATAGATCAGATCAGAACAAAACCTGTAAATTTGTTTGTCCAGAGAGTGAGATGTTGGTTAGGTCATATTCAGTGGTGGCTCTGAATCAGGACTGGATGTGCCGTCATGCCTCAGAGGTCCAATCTGAAGTTATTCTTTCGTGTCTTACAATGCTTTATGTAAAGAAGCCATAGAGTCCATCTGGATCAGACCTTGAGAGCCTCAAGCCAGTTTTGGATCTGGACTCTGTGGCTTTGGCTCGTATTGAGGCATAACTGCAAATGTGTTTGGTGGTCTGATTCAAATCTCCAGCAAACAGGTGAGTTGGCTTTGTTCAAAACCACCATATAATTCTGTGTGATTGGCACCTTTCACTTACAAGAAGGCTGAGCTGCATAGCCAGCAATGAATTAAATTGGCAAAGACATGAGGAGGTTTGTATAGCACTTGGATCTGTACAGGGTTTATATTCTCTGATTTTTGTGAACCCAAATCCACAGTGGAATAGGAAGCAAGAGAATAAACTACCTACCAAGCATCTGATACTAAGAACAATGCCATTCTTCTTAAAACAAACAAAAATCCCTCTTAATGCGATAATCTTACAATAACCAATTATTTCAATGAACAAATGACACCAAGACAAGAAGTATCCCGGAGTCAGAGGCGTGAACTTTTAGCTGTTAGGTCAATGGTAACATATCTTGTTTGAACAAGCCTGACAAAGATCTGCTGAGCAATATCCACTGGGGCCAACAGTGCTTGGCTGTCTGCATTGTGGTGGAGAGATAGACTTGGATAACAGTGTCACTCACTCCTCCGCTGACACCAGCCAAGCATAATGAAGCGTGGCCAAAGCCTTCTTCAGCCTGATGGCAAGAGTGGAATGCTGAAAAGACCTAAAAATGGCTGATATGGATGAATTAGAATGAAATGGTTGCAGTAACAATGATCTGAGACAGCATGTCCAGCACTGAAGCCAATGCAGCCCCATTCCAGCCCCCTCCTTCCTCTTTCATGGCCTAATGCTGCATTTTCATGTATGCTGCAAAAACTTAGGCAAGTACATCCAGCCCACAGCGGTGTCAGGGGATGTCTACACCGCAGACTACAGCACAGAGGTATCTGGATATGCTGAAAAAGAGCTAATTTGTGTGCCTCTGGCCATGTAACTGCAGCCTGAGAATTTGCTTTCATAACTGGTTCCTATCTTTATTATTTACTAACTCTGATAACAGGATCAACACTATAACAGAGTCGAGGTGTCTAAGGGCAAGGAGCTGCTGATATAAACACAGCACACATCTGCCCCCCAAACTTCTGCAGTCAGAGCAGGCACAGCAGGTGAGGTGGAGAGACAAACAGGCTGAACTCAGAGAAACCAACAGATGATGTGAACTATGTTAGTTCTCTCAGGCAAACTGATTTGCTATTAAATCCAAATATTAGCCAAAAATGAAGACAAAAGGCAAAAAATTACATGTTTTTTATTATTTATTTTTATTTTATTTTAAATTTCTGTTTTTAGGGAAAGTTTTCCCAGCTCAGATCTGAAAATGGGGAATGGAGGTTACAGTGGATGCACAAACCCAAGCTATGAAGAGGTGTTTTCCTACGCTTTAAAACCCAGCCTGAGGTTTTCAGGAGCAACTACCATTTCAGTTGCCTCATTAACCTGATCCAGAGTGTATGAGTTTGGATCAGTAAAAGACACATTCCAAGCTGTTTTCAGAGAAAGGTCAGATCTCCAGATCAGCATCACCTCTCTGGGACCAGGCTCTCTTCTAGGCTGTGTTCCTCCTGCAAACCCACCAACTACAAAGCTGCGTGAAGCAACAAATCACCTCGTTCCCAGGAAGCTCTGTCTTGAATTGGGAAGCGCAGATTTAGCCCAAGGAAGGTTCACCCATAGGCCACCAGTAGCTTTTAAACCTGTCAAGAACAGCACTTTCTCAATCATTAGAAATAGCTCAAAAAAGCAACACAAGATATGTTTTCCGAGTAAGTCGAGAAAATATGAGACTGTAACAAGACAAGTAGGATGCAACGGCTAAGGATGGATTCCAGGTTTAACTAAAGAAAAGGAGAAGTAAAGGGATACTGCTCAGCACAGCTCAGTGATGATAACAAATTAGTACAGATTAACACGTTTCGCAGTTCCTAGGTGTTGGTTTGGTTTGGCACTATGACTGATCCAAAGAAAGAAATCTTAGCGTGTTGTGCATATGGAATGTACTCAGGAGCTGAAGGGAGCCACAAAAAATAGACTGATACATCTCTATTTGTAATGTTAGCTGATGGCTGCTTCCAGTCCTTCTGTTTCTCCAATGCACTTTAGAAAATAGCTTTTAAATTCATCAGATCTTGGACATACGGCTTGTGTAAGGTTCCAGCCAGTAGCCGTTTATTTTATAAGGGGATTTAAATATTGTAAAACAGAATAAAATGCAGGTGTTTGCATGACAGACAAGCGAGCCTTGCGTAAGGTCTACAGAGATGTGACTTCCAGATTAAAAGGCTTTGCATGGCTTGTGCTGCCTCAGAGGGGGTAGTGGGTCTTTGGATCAGGTAGTGCAGCATCTTCTTTGGGATGACAGGTTCCTGGATTCAAGCCTCTGCAATGCGTGCACATCAGGGAAGCATATGCAGCAGGACAGATAGTGGCTATATTTACATCTGCACAGTTTTGAAATTTGTCTGAGGTAGTTCAGTCACCACGATCCTCGAATCTCAGTAATTGCCATTTACTGCCTGCAGCTGCCATATATTCTGATGAGGATGGGTTCTAGCATGGGCAGCCCAATGTTACTCTGCTATCCAGGTGGCCGAGCTGAGGCTGCTATCAAGGGAAGCTAGGAATAAGCAAAGCAGGATCACAAATATAGGCAAAACAGAGTCACACTGACTTTCACAGTGGATTTTGGTAGCAATAACAGAATTACAGCTGCTTCTTGGAAAGCTTCCCCAGTGATCAAACCCAAAGCTTCTGGACCACATGCAATTATTCTCCTCAAGAGGAGAGACTACATGGAAAATCTGACAATGTGGTTTAATGATAATGAAACTCTACTACTAGTGGTGCTTTTACTCCTGATTTACACCAGGAAGGTGAACAGATAGCCAAGGTAACACTAGATAATTATTAAATATATAATCTGTGTAACCATGCCCTCTAGAGGACTAAGTTTACCTTAATGGAGTCAAAACCAGCCCTTGGGGCTGTAAACTCTTAGCATTTGAGGGAAAGGTACTGTGAATGCTCACATTTCCCCTTTCCACCTGAATGCAGCTGGGAACCGCCATCTGCTCACTGGTGCCTCACCCTACAGTGTGTTGAACCAACCCCCAAAATGGCACCAGTAGGTGGGTTTTCAGGTGTGTACCCACCCGGTGTCACTGTCAATGGTTCATTCAGCTAAACCCCATCCAAAGGCTGAAGGATTGATCTGAGATCATGTGCTCTACCAAAAAGAAGGTCATAGAAATATGACAGTTTCGCAAGGCCTGGCCCAAATGAAAACGTTGAGTATTAAAAAACAGCATTCATTTTCTTACCTCATGCTTTCCACATCTTCCTTCCTTTCCTTTTTTCTGCATTTGCTGGCAACTTCCCCAACTCTGCTTGGTCAGTGCGGTTTGCATTCCCAGTTGGCCCGAGCTGCAGAAATGAGAGTGAAATCAATCTACGTGCAATCTGCTGGCCGTGGCTGGGATCACAAGAGTCCGCCTGGATGCTGGCAGTGGCATCAGCCAGCTGTGCTCCTGGGTGCTTGGTGCAGGCAATGAAACTGCCCTAGAGGGGTGGGTAAATGGGCGGGAAGTTGGGCTGTTCTGAGCCCCATATGTCTGCTGTGCAAACTGCGCTCCATTGTCCCCAAGGGCAACAAGGCTATGAAACAAAATCCAGCAACGAATAGAGAGGAAGGTCAAAGCTATGAGTTAGCAGAGGGAAACAAAAGGAAATTCTCCCTTATCTTCTTCAGTAAGCTTTTGCTGGTCGGGCTGTCCATGGAGAGTTCCAGATGTTCCTCTGGAAGTTCTGCACACCATCCTGCACACCAGCCTTGGGAAGCAGCTCTGAAGCAGTGTGTCCTTTCAGGCTCTCCAGGGATGAAGCCCGTAGAGGTTGAGCCCTCACTTGCTTTGTACGAGAGAATATTTTGACATCTTTTACTCAGCGCCTTACATTGTGTCTCAAGTTAGATTGTTTTCCCAAGAATTTAAGAGAAACAGAAAGCAGATCATGGCTATATTTTGGTAATTTTGGTGAGTAAATCCAAAATATCTGCGACGTGGGATTTTCAGTGCTAGCATCAGTAGCTTTGCTTTTTCACTGAAGCCACTGGGATGTCAGACACTGAATATACTGCAGCTGTCAGACGTTGGTTTTGAAATCCACACCATGAATGTTTTCATTTGATTTTTTGTTTTTATTTTTCTTTCTTTACTCCCACTTTTCTCTATTCTTTCTTTTTCCCCGACTTTTCTCCCAGTACAAGAAAATGTGTTTTTTTCCCTTGGTTACTTCCACTCTGCTGACCTGGTTTCTTGCCTTCCCTTGGAAGCATTTAGGTGTCTCAGCAATGGAGACAATGAATCAGTGAACACCAGAGGATCCGGGAATACCCCAACAGCCTGTGAGGAGCAGAGAGGATCACAGAATCATAGAATTGCTCAGGTTGGAAAAGATCTTAAAGATCTTCAAGTCCAACAGAACCACACCATACTACCCTAACTCTACCAGCCCTCCTCTACATCATGCCCCTGAGCAAGAGCCAAGGGTGCTAACACTTCCCTTTGCTCTTCAAATTCTCATTAGCAGGAAGTTATGCTGCTCTGAGCTGATGCCGTTCTTGCTTTTAGATCAAAAAGACTTCACTTGTGGGAGGTTCAGAAGACAAAACTCAAAATATTTTAGTGGCAAACAAAAAATATATAGCATGGTGCAGAGCTCCCAGCAGAAGGAAGGTTTGGGCCTATCAGACACGCAGGGATTACTTGCTGGGAAGGCACAGATCTAGCCCCAAGGAGCAGCTCGTGCCTCAGCTCAGTGCCTCCAGAGCTCAGGGCTGGCTCTCAGTTCTGCAGATACAGCTCCACCAGCAACGACTGCACCTCAAACAGGCAAAGGTTTGCTGATAGCTCAGGAGCGGGGAACCAGGACACCTGTGTCATGGGAGTTATTGGATATAACATGGGAAATCTGACGCAGAAGTATCACGTTAACGCAGAGCAATGCAACACAGCAATCGAACTATTGGATTTTTAAACCCAATGTGAGGGGTTGTTTTCAGGCACAGAAGTCTGGAGTAGAATTCTGTTGTGTTTGTTGTTCTTCTTAAAGCATCTTCCAGAAAAGAAGAGTGAATGAACTGCGGTTCAGCGTTAACAGTTCGCCCAGCATTAAGCGTCCTGCATCTTGGCCTTGGGGCAGGGATGCACATCATTTTAAGCATTTTGAGTCATCCCATTGATTTCAGCCAGATTACTCATATGCTCAGTGCAAGCACAGCCCAAAGTACCATGTGGGATAAGCCTGTTTTATTTCTGAGAAACAGAAGAGCTGGTTCATGCTCTGATTTACAAAAGCTGCCTCCGTTAAGCCGATGGAACGTGTTTGTACCTCAAGCATTTGAAAACTGTTTCATGCAAATGCAAGTAGACTGACTGCAAACAAGTGATTTTTTTCACCTACAATCAGTTGAATCTGAATCAAATGAATGGGTGTGTTGAAATGAAGAGTGAAAAACAAGTGTGAGTTGCGTAAACTGATAATGCTACCATTAGGATTGAGTAACATGCTAGACCTTTTTATGGAAGTGGGAAATATTTCTCAAACTCTGAACGTTTGACACAGTTGCAGTGAAAGACTTTCTCGTTTACAGCACGACTAAATCACATCATAAATGAAATTTGAAGGTAGTTAACAAAATAATCTTTATGTCAAATGAGTGAAATGTGGGTTTGCCATTTGAAAATGTCATTCTTTGGTTTTGTAGTGTCCTTTAAAGGCTAATCTAAAAGAAAATTAAATTAATCTCAAGCTCACCACCTTTAAATTGCAGAAGTGAAAACCTTTCAGGACTTGCCAATTACTTAGGAAACTTTGTAGCTGGATTATTCCCAAATTGCACACCCTTTATTTTAACCACTAAAGGCAAACACATGGTTTTGATGGGCCGTAAAAGAACAGGTTGCTTTTTCAGTACTGAAAGAAGCTGTAATTACTTCCCTTGTTTGGTGACTTCCTGATTTCCTTAGGTTGTTATGAGTGATACTATTCTGCTAAGGTAATTGGAGCTGCCTGAGTGAAGCCGATGACCTGAGGGAATGACCAGGGCTTTTGAGTCTAGGTGACTTGCACCTAATGAGTAAGAGCCATTCCTGCTTCCCAGGAAAAGAGGACACTAAAACTGCCTGAAGTGCTCAGCACGTGTACTTTAAAGGCTTATGTTACACAGTCCAAGCAAATTATATCTCTATATGATATTCAGAAACCCACCTATGTGAGTTCCAGATACAGATAAAATAAAGGTATTTTCTTCAGAAAAATAGAATAAATACATCATCCAAGTAAAACTGAGCTTCAGGTCTTTCTCTAAATGATCAAAAGCCAAATACTAACACAAGGAGGTAACCAGCAGTTGCTGAAATCAGTTCTTGTCTATAATGCAATGGATAATAAAATATGGCTGCAGTGAGTTGCAATGGATTTTGTTCTTCTAAGAATTAAACTATTTAAGAGTTACATAGGAGACCAAACAAGTTTCCAAGGGCTAGCACCGACCCTGAGCCAGCCCTGGAGGACAGAGCTGCAGGAAGACAGGCTCAAGGAGACTGGCTGCTCCCTTCGTAGATGAGACAGGCAAATATCCAACTTCTTAGCAGTGTTCTAAGGCATTTTTTCTCAGCTTGCAAAGGAAGTGCCTAGGCTTAGCTGTAACTCCTTTTATTTTTTGCACATTTGTTCAGATGTGTGTCATATTACCTTTCTATTCAGAAGGACAAACTTTGACTTGCTGCATGCTTTCTGAAGGTGAAATACATTATTTAAACCTGTGATTATTGATTCAAAGCATCTGAGATCTCAGGTGTGTTTTCTAACTAGTGCTGGCTTGGCCCACTGTGCAATAGGCCAGTTGCAAACTGGCTCCAGTACATCGATGGGAGGAGGTTAAATTAGAAAACTGAGCATGGAAGTTCTCCATCATGAATCATACATAGCTTCTCTCTTCATGTTCCCTGTACAGTCTGGTGGAAGAATCCAACACATGCAGTCTTGCAAGGGGTGTGGACACACAGAGGTTTCAGTGAGATAAACATAATTTATGCCATTGTGTAAATTGAATTTACAGATCATTACAGCTGTCTGTTACTCCAAGAACAAAAGCTGATGTACTTTTTACTCCAGGGTAAAGCATGCACAGGCAAATATTGAGGAGTACTGAGATGCTGTTGGCTAACGCTGTATCTCATGGAGATTAAGCCATGTTGACGGAGTCATAGTCTCTGCTAGAAGATAATGGATAAAGATGTGAACATCCAAAGGCAGTCCAGAAGCTAGGTCTCTGACACACTCAGCAGTGATGGACTGATATCAAAACTCTGACCGGTGAAGCGTTGGATTATGATACTTTTTTAAAGTGACAAGAATATGATAACACTTAAATGACCCAAACTATTTAACATTGTGATTTCAGACATTATTTCAAGGGACATCTTGCCCCTTAATGCAAGGTTCTGCAGACGTTTACAGATAACATAGTTCAACACCTGCAGGCACCAACAGGGAGGCTAACACGCAGCATCCAAATGTCCTGCATGGCTGGGAAAGGAATAGGGAGCACAGCATCCTCCAGCAGTCACCATGCGGGCACTCCTCGGAGGGACAGGTGCCTGGATAATCTTTGCAAAGCTTCACTTGCTCATCTTTTCTTCCCCAGAGTTCAACTGACAACCTGTTTCAAGTAGTACAAAACCTATCCACTTCTGTAAAGTTTCTTAATAGTATAAGCCTTCCTTGTGAAACAGAACCAAATTACATTTCCAGTGGCTGGTATACAAATTGGACACCAGAATAGCATGACGCAGCCTTCTACCTGAACCTCAGATCAAAATTAATGGTTGAGGAGAGGCCTTGTAGCACAGGAGCCTTTGTTAAGCTAATCAACTGAATAACATCATCATTAAGGAATAAGGATTACCCAAAGAACAAATTATTAAAATTCATGGTAGATTCTGAAATAGGAGAAAAGAGGTACTACTGATGGCATTACAATAACATCAATGGAGGATGGGAGGTTGAGCCAGAAACCTGAACCTGAGCCTGTGAGGGCACATGTGCCTCGGAACGCACACGGCTGAATGAAAGGGGAAATCCAGGAAAGCAAGAATGCAGAGACAGGCAGTAAATTACAGCTTGCAATGCTCTATGGCACGCTGTGATAGGACAAGGGGAAATGGGTTCAAAATAAAAGAGGGAAGATTTAGATTGAATATAAGGAAGAATTTTTTTACAATAACGACAGTGGGGCACTGGCACAGGTTGCCCAGAGAAGTGCTGCATGCCCCATCCTTGGAAACACTCAAGGTCAGGCTGGATGGGGCTCTGAGCACCTGATCTAGTGCAGGTGTTCCTGTTCTTTGTGGGGAGTTGGACTACACGACTTTCAGTGGTCCATTCCAACTCAAATAATTCTACGATTCTATGAAGGGCTCTGAAAGGTTAAGTGCCTTTGGATTATCTCTTCTAGTTGCTCTAGAATCAACAGCTGAACTAATCAACTCACATGCTCAGCTGAGTCAGAAGGTACTGGAAGATCATACAGGTAAGCAGTTACCATAGAATCATAGAGACCCTTGTGAGCTCCTCAGTGAGGGAACAGATGCTCCTTGCTTCCTGCCCACTTCCCTATAAAAAGATCTGACGTGTCCACGAAGATGGGGGATGATGATAAATGGCTTTGTTTGCTCTTTTCCAACAGGCAAGGAGATACATTTGCGGAAAAAACAGATCAGTCATAAAAATAAGCAACCAAAGATACAAGTAAAACAGAACAGTCTTCATGTCTTAACTTTCCATACATAAATTTCTGAGTTCCCACTTGGGTTGTTATTATTATTATTACTACTATTACTGTAATAATAGGATTCCCAGTCATGGAGCAGAATCAGCGCACACACAAAAAAGTAAGAATGGAGACAAGATCCAGCCAGGGGGGCAAACATTGCTTGGCCTGCTTGCTTCTATGTGCTGAGCACCCATAGCCACTGAGTCTGCTGGGGAGGCTCCCTAAGGCCACAGCTGGGACACCTAGCCCTGATCCTTTCCTACTCCCAGAGTATGAGAGTATTACCCATGGCTGTTGGGAAAAGGAGGTTCAAGAGCAGTCTCAAACTTCTTTAAGAAGTGGCCCGCATCTTGATTGCTACACCTTCTAAGATGGGTTTAAACTTCACAGCCTGGAACCAAACACAGGTCCGGCTTTCCCCCAAACCCTAGGTCAGCTTGGATTCAGATCTGTTTGTCCAGGAGAGGAGGACTAGCTGCAAACTTTTGGATCCACATTCAACCCTTCCCAAGCTTACGCGGGAACGCTCAGACCCATCTCTATTTGTCTTGGGTAGGGGAGTTGCTGTGATGCTATCTGCAGTGGAACTTTCCATTAGCAACAACATGAGAGACAAAGAGCTCATGCTTTGACCTTTATAAAACTATTCCTTAACAAAATTTACTCAAGTAAAGAATTCACAATCCTCTTTGGTTTTACTTATTTAATTGATACAGACATAAAATATTTTGCGTTGTTTTAATAATAGTTTGGTTTTCTGCTATTTAAAAAAAACTTCATTTCTCTGAACATATTTTTAGCAAAAATATTTTGCTTGAACTTTTTTCCTCTGCCTTCAAAGGCTGCTGCACAGTTCTGGGGTGCTAAATACTAAACTCACATTCTACCACTCCATCTCCTCCCATTTGGATGGTAATCACAGGATCTTGATGCCAAACTCTGGAAGATATTTTTTCCAGCAGCAGCATCTGGCTTCTTGGCAGACCCCGCGAGCAGTTGTGTTGGCAGCGGTGGGAGCTGCTTGAGTCTGTCATGTGTTTAGGCTGCTGCAGAGCTGTCTGAACCGCCTCACTGCCTTAGACAGTATGTTCTCTTGACTTCCATTTCATTTTGATAAATTTGCGCTTTCTGTTGTCTGCCTGTTAATGCAACTCTGTAGATCCCGAGAAGAGCTATGTATAGCTGCTCTAATGGAGAGCCGTAAGGGAGGTTTGCAGAGAGCTTCTCAGCCCACAGACCCCAGCAGAACACTGCTCCTCAGCGGGATCATCTTGCAAGCCGCTGAACGGCAGCCACCTCAAGAAGGGTCGGAGTGAGCCGCTGGACTCACAGGAGACCCGCGGGGTTCAGGCTCCTGCCACGTGCCAGGAATGCTCTGACTAATGCTTGTCACGAGAAGACCAAGGCTCCAGCCTGCAAACTGACTCATGCAGTTCTGCTGAGAAGCCCCTTTCTGCCTCCTGAGGACCTTCTGTGTTGGGTCCTGAGGAGGGCACAGCAGGAGGGACGTGCTGCTCCGGATTCACAGGCTGGCACTTGGAATTGCATCTTCCCTATGGCCAGGCTAAACGAAGATAAAAGTAAAGAAGAAACTTATTTCCTTCTGAGTTAATGCATTTGAACACTTACTCCAGATTATCAGCTGTCCTTGCTTAGCTCTAGAAATAAAGATGTCTCAGACAGGGTCAGGTGAGATTCTGGCTGTGAGAGTATGCAGAATTTGCAAACAACTTTCCAAGGAGGCAAAGGTCTCTTCAGGCTGCAAAGGTGGGCTCAGATCAGCCCGCACTGCCTCATTTCCTGGCAGCCACAGTCCACCCAGAGCTACCAGCTGACAGACTCCATTTTCACTAAATGTAAGAAAACAACCACACGTGGGGTTCACTGTGCCAGCTCTCAGACAAGACTCTCCTCAGATCTCTGAGGATCTGGCTGACCTCAGCTCTGAGGAGCAGGCATGCTCCATGGCACCATTCGCAGGCTGTCAGGCCAGGAAGTGCAGAGTGCTGTGCACTGCTGAAATGCAACTGGAAGATGCAATTTGACATTCTTCCTTGAAGTTCTGGTTTGCCCAAGGTATCTAACCACGTCTCAGCAATCTTCAGAAACACCCTTCTTAAGTGTGTTTAAGAAGGTTAAGAGTAAAGAAATTGAAGCTGGATGTCTGAGAGCACAAGGTCTCCCAAAAGCTCTGCCCTTAAGGGAATGCATTGCAGCTGCAGTGCAGCCTCCAGTTAGATCTGATCTACTTGCTGCTTCTGCTACAGCTATTGAGGAGTAAGGGCTGGAATCACGACATAACCAAGCATATCTCTAGGCCCCTTCCCTGCATTTACTCTTACCACATTCCCAGGGGATACACATGGAGGATGTACTTCCCTTTGTTTTCATGGGGAATTTGTGACAGTAAATAACTGCATCCAGCCCCTCTGCCTGCTCAGTGAGGGACTGTGCAGCACCCACAGCACCCACCTCACATGGGCTTCTCTCCCTCCTGCTCCCCTTGCCAGGCTGGGTGAGCTTCTTCCCAACAAAGGCTTCTGTGAACACCACAGTGATCATGTGGGTGTCTTTCTGAGAAATCCTGAGTACAAATGAGAGAATTTCGTGATTTCATAGCCTTAAAAGCCACATGAAAAACAACTCTGTAAACCAAGCACTCTGTTCTCCTGTGCCGGTGTAAATTCCTGATTCCTGCAGGAATGAGGCTGAGGCTGAGGGGTGCACATGACTATCAGTGTGGGTCGTTGTGGAGTATCCCAAAGACTTATTTTGGTAACTGGATTTAGCTGTGCTGGCCATCACCCTCTGTTGTGGAACTGCTGACTCGCCAGACTATGCAACAGTTTTGTTTTGTTTACATTCCTTGGCCTCCCTGAAGACCTGCTGCCACCTGACTGGGAGGAGACAGCAGTGCCAGCCAGCAGCTCTGACTGCCCCGTTCCCCTGCACAAAGTGGGCAGATGGGGACCAATTAGCTCTCTGCTATGCCAGCAGTGTCCCCACCAGTTGTATGGCAGTGGCAGAGTGGTGCTTGAAAGGAAAAGGGCTCCCTCTCCTCAATTCCCTGCCAAAAGGATGAAGCAGCCTCTATGTGGCAATCCTTCTTTGTCCAGAGCCCATCCACCTGGCAGCCTGGGCAGCAGCAATTCTTCAGTGGTCTTCTACCTTTCAACTGCAATCAGGAAGGAGAGACCGATCGCAGCTCTACCTATTTTAATTTACAACTGCTCTTTGGCTTTGTCTGGCCTATTATGTCAGGTGTCTCAGTGAGCAGCAGTGTTGGACACAATTCATCTGCAAGGGTGAGAATAAAAGAAAAGCTAACAATGGTTTGAAATCATACTCACAGTCTGCACATTCCTTCATGGAGATCATCTCATGGATCATGTACGTGCAAGGGACACCGTGATGCCTGTGAACAAAACCAGCTGAATTTCGGCCACGTTTACTGAGCTGTATCTGCAGGTCCTTCGGTGTCAACTAAGAAGCTCAAGTTGCGAGGTCGGAGCTGTGAGAGCTGCCAACTCACCGGCCATAGCAGGAGGATCTCTGGCTTCGTGTTCCTCAGGAGAAAGTTTGTGGCCCAGCACATGATGAGAGTATCTATCTCAAAAACGTTCTTGCTGGATCTAAATAAAATCACGCTACTCCGACCCCAAAGCTTATTTATATACAGAGACTTCTGAAAAGCCACTTGTGGTTTGACAAAGCGTTTAAGAAGAAAACAAAACAAAAGTTTGGAAATAACCTGCACTGTTTGTTTACTAAGTCTGAATAGGGAACTAATTTTGTTTCCCTGGCTTTTATATCCCTCTCTGCAGCTCTGGTACGGCTGATTCGTGTGACTATCTCCAAAAGATCACAATCATATAAAATTTAGGAATGAGTTTCTTCTTGTTTCTTCAGCAGTTTAATTTACCATCCCTAATTTCTTAGCACTTGCTGGGATATGACTATATGCAGCCGTATAAATCTGAACATTTAAGTATGTTTGAATGAGAATCCTGACTTGGACTTACTTCCAGGCAGTTTTGCTGACATATAGATTCAGGGAGACCTGATCGGGTTTCAAACTTCTTCAGTTCTTTTTCTAAGATCAACATACATGCCAGACGTTTTGTGATTCACTCATCACTAATAAACAACCATTTTACTATTGCAAAACCTCACTGGACTGCTATTCCCAATCCCTATCAGAAACGCTGCTTTAATAAACTCAATTCATGCGTTTCGTCTGAATTCACAGGAGTCACCCCGGGAGTGATTTTGGACCAAAGCATTTAATTTGCTTTGTGGGACAGAGGACCATTCCTTTCTCGTGTATACATGGTTTATTTGTGCCTATGCATTTTGCAAAGGAGAGCTTAAGTCATTTGAGGAGCTAGCTCAGGGGATGTGAGGAACAACATCGGGAAATGAGGGGAATGGGTTACTTGGAGGGGACCTTTAAGCCCCAGCAGGAGCTGTGTTGTTGAGAACTTTCTGAAGATCTTGCCCATGCAGCATCTCTGTATTCCCAGAAATTCCAGAAATGTTTAATCAGATATTTAAAATTTCCAGTATTAACCAGAAGTGCTGCCAGTGGAAAGTTGGATTCCTAGCAACAAGACTCTTGTCTTATTAAGGCAGGTTTGCTTGTTGTTAAAAGGTGTTATTTCCCAGAATTGTGTTACAGACAGGATGGAGAAGTGACAGCTTGTGGCAGTTGTGTATTTTAAGAGTATCCAGCAGTTCTGAACAAATCCCAAGACATGCAGTTTGTTTTTAGTTAGCATAAGAGAAGTGCAGAGATAAGATTCTAAAAGGCAGTCATGGGACTGATGCACGCTGGTCCATCCAAGACTGGGCCTTACTGACATGCCTCTCCTACTGACTTCTGAAAATCCCAGTTTAAATGTTAGTATTTAAAATGCATTCAGTAAGCAACTGGGTTCAGTTTGATGGATGTAGTAAGAGCTACAGAGGACTGGAAGCTTCCAACTGCCCAGCTCTCACATGGCTGTGAAGCAAGGCCAGCTTGCCCTAGGAACTGCTTAAGCTTTCGCAGGATCAGGTGTTCAGATGGCAGATAAACTGTGCAATATAGGTCTGGTTTGGACAGTAGAAGAGGAAGAACCCAAATGAAACCTTCGCTGCACTGACATTGATTGATAAACTCCTGTGCCTTCCACAGGACTAGGGTTTTGTGCAAGTACCTGCTTTCTTACCAGTCTCACAGATTACCCGAGTTCACTTAGTGCTGCTGACGTGGATTCAAGGTTTTGTCATTTAGCCTGGCAGGTTCACTGCTTCCTCCCCAGTCAATATTTTCAGTCACTATATATTCCTTGCAAATTAAGGGAAAGTTCTTTCTGGATATTTCTAAGAATCCCATCATCTTTTTAAGGTAGCCTGAACTGTTTTGACAATGCAGCTTTCCATATACATGTTGAGATGAGACTTAAAGCAATAAATCAAGGGTGAATACACAGTAGGCAGGCACTTACTACCTAAGCTCAGGCAGCATACCTGCTCTCTCTCTCACGGTACTGTAATCAGACAGTATTACTGTGTACAAAGATTTGCTGATTTGAAATAGATCATGATTGGGGGATGAGCCACAAAGCCAGAAGGATGCTGGAAATGCAGAAGGGCACAGCATGCTCTCATGCAGACAAGCCAAGGTGACCCTGCCAGAGGCTGAGACAACTTCCTAGACCTCAGCAGTATTATGAAGGCCTGAAACTCATTTACTGGTTAACTGATTTAATTGTTTGCTTGGAGTACAGAGGCCATCATGTGAACTAATTACTGCTGCATTTGATGCTGTAACTTTTTAAATGGGATACACAAACATGCTACAGCATTACATTCATGCAATGCAGACAAGAGTTGAGCAGCTGAACTTACAGCTGAGCAGCAGCACAAATTGCATTACAATCCCCTGGTGTTTCCTCTGGCCTCCCCTTACATTAGAGGAGTTGGGCTTGGTGGTCAGCACACTCTGACCAACAGAGCTGCTTTTTGCATACACTGAGAATTTGTCGTAGTAATCACAACTACATAAAAATACTTTACAGACCCCCTTGTTCCCCACCATTCCCATAAACACATTTTCTCTGTTGAGCATTTTATGGTTCTCATCTCTGCTCCGGCTCAAATGTCCTTAGGGTAAAAGCTGAGGTTCACCTGCCCTCAGACCACAGCGTGAAGATGCTCCAGTAGGTATGCTGCTCTATGTTCGTGCTCACCTTGGGTCATGCATCTGCCAGTACTCCTTGGAGTGGCTGTGTTGGAAAGCATTGAGATGACCCAGCAGCTACACAGCGCAGCTCCAGGTGTCCAGGTCTAGCAGCACCAGCCCATGCTACACCAGCACTGGCATGAGCTTTAGGGCTGCATCCAACATAGGAAGTTTCATCATGAACAGGAACTCATTAAAGCCTTTCCACGTGGAAACTTCATAAAACACAGGGCTGATGGAGCTTTGGTTAGTTAACGATGGATTTGACCCAAGACTCAGATTATCTGGATAAAGAAAAAAAGCATTACAAAACGTTTCTGCACTTTTACTTACTACAGCTTCCTTTACCAAGGGCGAAGAATCTTGCCGTGTGTTAGATAGGAGTAAATGGCTTACTATACCTGTAAATTATTCTTTGCTTAAGTGCTGTGAGTGCTGTGCTTGCTGTGCCTGGCCCACTTATGCAGAAAGGCGCCTGTAACTCGGTTGTTGGCTGCAAAAACTGTGCAGGAAGGTACAGAGCTTGTTTGCTGATTTATTTCTCAGCTAAACCCTCAGGTCTCCAGGATCCCAAATTATGGACATGAAAAGCTGTGTGATAAAAGGCCTGAGAGACAAGGACAGGATGCCTGCTTGGTATCTGGAGGGGCAGTATTCCTTTCTGTATTTCTTAAGAAAAGAGGAATGTTTGGTCAATAGATAACAAAGCACATATGAAAGAGACATGGCTGCTCGTCTGGGCAAGAGCCCTGGGATAGGCTTTCAGTTTGCTCAAGGTCCTCTCATATTTACCATTCGCTTCTGGACATTCCCAGACACCAGATCGAAGAAAAGAGCTCTTCAGTGCAGGGCCACAGTGACAAACAGCCTTCAAGAGGTGACATGGCCCTGAAGCAGGGGAGGCACTCACTCCCCAGAGGTGGAAGATCTGCAGCTTTTGCAAATGGACATGGGCATATATGTAGAAATTACAACTTTGGGTTTTTTTTTTTTTTTTTTTTTAAATAATTTAGTTAAAGTAAGGAAAAATATTCTTGCAGTAACCTGTTCATAGGCACTGGCTAATTTAGCATTAAATCACATACTCTCCCTGGCACTGGCGCAGAGGAAGGTATTTCCTGAACGGCTCGTTTCAAGTTTCATTCATAGGTACTGTCTAAAATTAGATCTGCCACTTTCATTCAGGTCCAACTGCTTTGCCTAGTGTAACATTTTTTAGAAACAGAAACTCAGTGAAATGTGCTCCATCATCTGCACTGTTCCCCAGGGCCTGCTGAGTGTAGTGCTGCGAGTGGCACCAAGCGGAGCATCAGAGCTCGGCTGGCAGAAGAGGCTCATAAACCCTGGGCTCA